TTAAATCAGTATCAGGAAGAAGCAGTGAAAGAGGCGCTTGGGAAGCCTTTCACCCTTGTTCAGGGTCCTCCAGGTAAGCATTGAGTTAACCCGTATCTTACAAGCCCCTCTTTTCCCTGTTTATTTTAAAGCTTTATTTTGCTGCTTTGTTATAATGATACATTCTAAAAAATTACGCTTTTGACAAATGCCCTGGGCCGTATGTCTGATTCCTTGCTTTGATGTTTGATTAAGCAAGTTGGTTTGGATTTACAATCTTTCACGAGTAGATTTTTACATAGCTCGTACACCTACGTTATTTCTCGTATTTAGAATCAGCTGCCAATGCAGTAACTGCCTTTGATGTAACCGTACTTATATACATATATTCATTATTAACTATCTTTAGACTCGACAAAATTAATTGTATAGATATGTGTAGTTCTTTTATACGCATTTAGTTTTTACCATGTCAAACACATTTATCATGAGCCTCCGGCTCGGGAGACTGGGTAACCATCGCCTGTGTATTTGACGTTAAATAAATTATCTTATCTCATCTTATTTCATTTCGGGGAATTGGACTGACTGTCTTGAAGCGGCTTTTACCTTGTTCTTATTGTTCTTGTTGTTGTTGTTACTGTTGTTTGTTTGTTTGTTTTTTCCCCTATTTGTCGGTCAGTGGGTCTCAATATCGGTCTGTCGCTTTTTGTTTGTTTGTTTGTTTGTTTGAACTGATTAGTCATTTCTGTCTCCATCAGCGTTCAAAAGATATTCAGGACTAAGATAGTTGCCTTAATTAAGGAACTTTCGCATAGTTGCATTGACATGCTTTCGTTCATTGGAAGGTACTGGTAAGACGGTGACAGGTGTCCACATAGCTTACTGGTTTGTGAAACGAAACATGCAGCAGCGACATGACGATCTCGACATCGTCGATGACGACCAGCCTAAAGCACCTCCACAAGTGATTTACTGCGGACCCTCCAACAAGTCAGTAGACGTGGTAGCTAGTAAGTGATACAGCTTGATATCTGATGCCAATTAGATGATAAATATGGATCGTTTCCCATGTATTCATAACAGTAACTAAAAATATGATAAGGGGTCTGATACGCATTGATTCGCAATGACTGGGCGCATTATGCAGTGGAACCCCTGGGATTTCAAAATGTGGCCGTTGGCCGTGTTAACGGGGTTTAACTGTGGTTTTCTTATGAGAAAATGAATAGGCGTCTCGCCGGGACAAAACAAGAGTGGCCGTAATAACGACGTGACCGTATTAACGAGGTGACCGAGAGGCGGGTTCCACTATAGTAGCCAAAACCCAAGCCTTGACTCAAACAACACGGCAAGTTTTCATGATCAGAAAAATAAGACGGAGTTGTCTTGAAAACTGTTCACTAGAGCTCATCATTAACAGTGTGAATTTCCCTTCACGAACAGTCATGTTTTTGTCTAGGGATTTAAACCCCCCATACCTCAAGCCCAATTTGTACTTTCAATACTCATTTCAGTCTTTTTATTTCTTTCCCTACAGAATACATGCTGAAAATTCCTGACCTCAAGATCATCCGTGTGTATGGTGATCGTAGAGAACAGGCGGAGTTTCCAATTCCCAACAAACGCCAACCACTAAAAAATTCAACGGACGATGACAACCAAATCTCGAATGAGGATGATGAACTGAAAGCAATCTCACTACATCACGTCATTCGAAGGCGTCCCTGTCCGTTTGCCGCCGAGCTTGGAGAGTATGAGCGCCAATTTGATGATGATAGGAAAAACGATCGCAGGACCAGTGACAAGGAAGTACACGACTATTGCGAAGTAAGAATCGTACTACTTCGAAGAGACGGTTTTGATTTCAATGCGTCGAAGCTCTAGAATAATAACTCTTCGTTTCAGGAACCGAACGGCAAAGAATTTACGGCCGCCATGTTTGTGCCCCTCCGAGGCGCACAAACATGGCGTCTCCATGGGGTCTCCGAATAAAGTGCGAATGACAAACCGCATAAACTTAAATCTTGGCGACATTGTTTACATATCAATAATCTAACATATCCCAGATTCTTGACTTAATTTATCGAATGGTTACCATGTCTATTTTTAATGGCGTGACAGTGAAACCAGCAATATTTTTCCGAGCCTTGCATAGGACTGACACTTAGTTAATTGGTAAGGCCGAGAATTGGGCTGTTTTACTTTAGTCATAATTAAGGAGTCCAAATTATCTGGTGAAGAAAATTGGCAAGTTAGTCCATGCCCAATTTGTGAGTTTTTATTTCTGAGTATTTTTTTTTTCTTTCGCTTTCACAAGCTCATCAGAAAGGCCGAAAATTGGGCTCTTCAAGAGTCTGGAGTCCAGATCATCCTTTGTACATGCGCAGCATCGGGAAAACCGAGGCTAACCAAATCCTGTGGCAATATCCAACAATGCATTGTGGATGAATGTGGCATGTGCATGGAACTGGAATCCCTCGTGCCAATCGCGTACTCAAAAGCGCGACAAGTGGTTCTGATTGGTGACCACAAACAGTTACAGCCGGTCATCCAAGACAACTTGGCAATGACACTTGGAATGAG